TGCCTAAGATAACGTGCACACCCTGCTAGTGATCGAGATTCCCAAGGTAGCTCAGATACCAGAAATATTTGCCACAGGGAACTGTGAAGGCCAGATACATGGTCCTCCAAAATCCACGTCTTCCTGTCTAGATGCAAAATTTCTATTATCTTTCAACAGGATAAAACAGCCACAGAAAGAGATTCTCTCAACTTAGTGCCGAAATACACACATACGCATGTTTCTGAAAAGTCAGCAGGATGATTTTAAACTGCAGATTCCAAAAGATATAGCATAAGACATGCAAGATTTAGTTGGATGTCGAAATCCAAGTTTTAACAATTAATAGATTCTAAAAGCAAGCATCCTTTTTGGAGGTATCGCTTGTAAGTAAACAAGTAACAGTGTTCTACAAACACCATGTTGCAGCTGTAGACAGGCAAAACAGACAGTAAAATCTCAATTAGGAACCAAATTATCCAACTGGGAGACACAATATTGAAGTATTTCAGTATTAGATCAAAACATTCAGACAGATTAATTGTGCCAGCGTCGTTTTCCTACTTTAATAACATTCTCTAGGTAGACAAATTAGCATTTTTTAGTTTGTAAATCTATGAACAGTTACCCAATTACGGAGACTGGAAAGTTAAAGATAATCAAGGATTTTACAGGGGCTTAGTCATGTGAGTTCTTCAGTTTTGCTGCACTAGCCCCTTTTAGCACCACAGAAAAACAAATCAAGGTTTTATTTCCACTGCAATGCAATATCAAGAACACAAAATGCCGACAATATGCTGTTTTATTGCTAATAAGATTTGCTTGTACACAGATCTGGGTTTTAACTTAATGCATCGTTACTGAAAAGATTCTGTGGGCCCTCTAAAATATTTTTTTCTAAGCATTTTATTTATTTAGTAAATCCTTCAGACAAGCAAATGAGAATAATATACTATAAATATTTTTTATTTATGAAACTTATCAGGAATATTTCAAAGAAAGGAAGCGACTCATGTTTGGAGCATGAATAAGATACTGTTTTGGCATCTCAGTTTTCAAAACAAAGACATTTTCAAGCTATTAAAAGCGCTGCTAAGTGAAGCCTTGTACTCTGCAGGGAGTCTACAATGCAATACCCTTTTGTCTGAGAAAACCCAGCTTTTCTGGCAATAAAGTATCATCTGGCCTCTTCATCCAGTTTCTTTAATTTTGCTGCGTGCTAAGCAGTTAAAGCACATCCAACACGTGACGCTACTTTGTTTTACTTCACTGTACATCAGCCTCAAGTCTCTCGTCACAGTCTGTGAGGAGGAAAACCAGCTTTTCGGAACACCTGAGTACTAAGAGACTATCCCCCACTCAGGCATTAAATCTAAACCAAATAAACAGGAACCATCCATTAAAACTATACACAAAGCTGTCTACCATAGTTAGGCTCTACCATAATTAGGCATCAAGCTGAAATTCAGTGGCAAATCAGAAGGGTTAATTAGGTGCAACTTTTATTGCCTCACTCTCCAGATCTCTGGATTTAGATTGAGCATCTCCCATTCCACCTTGGAGAATCTGCAAACACTGCACACCCAGCGCGCAATGCGGCAGGAACGGCTTGTAACGGCTTGATTCTGTTATCGCTAGATTAGAGATCAAAACATTCAGTCATTTTTGTGGCTGAGAAAATAGATCTATTTTTACAATAAATAACCTGACATCAAACGACTGAGAAAATTAGCTAATTCATACCGCAGAACAAAACAACTTTGCCATGGCATAAAGGAGTCTTTTCCTGTTAAATACTCAACAGGTTCAAAGATCTGTAAGCTCAACCTCTTTTACAAAGCAAATCCAAATACAATCAGTGCTTTATAACTACTTCAGGCACATCCTCAAAAGCCATAAAGCATCTGACAGAGACTTCAAGTCAGCCTTACTGTTTTACTCAGAATTGGCAATCTGAGGGAAACATTCTTCTTTACTGGGGAAAAAAAAAATCCACCATCCTGTCTGAAAGGTGCTTTCAAAACAGGAAAACATTTTAAATGCATTTTAGACCACCAAGTTCCTCTTTCACAACCTATTGAAACATTGAAAGCAAATGCCATCGTGGGTACATCAGTCAGATTATTGCAAGACTCAAATAATATTTCTATTTATTTTCCAATACTTATTAAGAGCTTGTCCCAACCCAAACAATACATTTAGACACAAGTGGGTTACCTTCATTCTATTTCCCAGTGCCATACATTTCTTATCCTAAGAATTTATACTGAGGATCGATGAATAGGGACAGACATAAAGAGTGAGGCTTTCAAATGATGCAAATGTATTTAATCTAACACAGTTACTTTTTTCTTCAGTTAACCTGCATTGGAAAAAATGCATCTGAAGACAAAAATATTTCCCCAAAAGCTAAGTACGCTCGGAGCAGATCTCAGTTCAACACGCCAGGCAGAAACAATACATGGTAAAATGGTAACAAGCAGTGCTAATGCATTAACAAGTGACAGATGAGAAACAGCTGGAAGTGCAACTTCACACATACTGCAAAAGAAATTTGAGCAGTTAAGCTGGTAAAATGGAAACTGAAAGACTGAAGAAATCAAAGAGTATGGTTAACCACAAGTTACCAAGATGAGTATTTCGGTTACTGTTTTTACAAGGGAAAAAAACCCAACATCAACAAATGGAAGAAATCTGTAGAGTAACATATCTTGAGGAAAAAATATTTTTGGAACAATGAAGGAGAAGGATCAGAGAGAATGGTTTTTCAAAAAAAAAAAAAAAATCACCTAAATTAAACAACATTCCTATGTACATATCAGGAAACACTCTCTGCCCTGATGGGCTTATGTCATCCATGAACAACAAATATCCCACAGAAATGAAAACTGGGATTACAAAGGAAAAGCAAATCACATCAAAAGCTTCTCTCAGAACCTTCTCTAACACTAGAAATAACAGGTAGAGAATCCTAGATTAAAGTGGTAATTTCATGTAAGATATAAAACCAGACAGAATGGGTAAAAGGATGGGCAAGAGGAACTTAAGAGAAGGAAATGGGTAGAAAGAAAAGAGAAGCACAGCTATACAAGATTTGTTATGGGAATAAATTTAAGAAATATGACCTATTAAAGATAAAGGAAGGAGTTACAGCAAAAGTGATCTTGAAGGTCAACTGAGCTGTGTTCACTGCTTCAAAGCACACCTTTCTGCAGTTGTCTTCAGAAAGTCACCGCACCTAGACTTGAATTCTAGAGCCAGGCACACCTCCCAGTAATTTCACACTTTTGGTAAACCTCAAATGATCTATGTAATATTAAATAATGGGCACATTTTAACAAATGTCATTGCACTTAAAAAAATTTCACTTCACAATCTATGACATTGAAATTTAATGAGTTGCAGCAAGGAGACCTTAGCCAGCCTTGTCTGGAAGGAGAAACTGAACAGAACATAAGCCACGTACAAACGCACCAATGCATATGTACATCCCAAGGAGTGACAGGACCTAGGAATATGCAAATAAAATTATTTAAGAATAAAAAGTCAAAGCATAAAAGAGAGAAATGATTTGTCAGATAACATAGACCATAGTGGCTTTAGGAAAGAAACTCCTGGTATAAAGTTGTCATGACTGATAGCTGGAAGAGGCAACTGCAAAAGTGGTTTAATTGAGCACAGATGCTGCTTCCACCATTGCACATTCCTAATCAGGTCTGTTAAGTGACACAATATTCCATCTACCTCAACACTTCTCTATAGTATCTCTAAGCTTCTTGACCTCAGTTTCTTTTGCAGCATCCACTTAAGTTTTTGTACACTTTCTCCCCATATGTCTGGTCTATTTATAACCTGTTCAGGTTGGGGCCATGCATTACCATGAGTTTATTAACCAACCAGCAGAAAGAAGGCCCACTTCGAGGTTCCTCCCTTGGTCCTGCTAGTCTGTGAAGAGAAATAGCCCTCAAAGACAACTATTTCATCATTGGGTAAGAATTCAACAGTGGTGTGTAAACATCTAGTGGTTTAAGTGGACAAAAATAAAAAATAATAAAACAGCATAAAACTATAACAACTTTATTTTCTTTGATTATAAAAAGACTAGGAGGGTCTGAAAGAAAGTGCAGTTCTACAGGAGTAAGAGGGCAAGACATAATTCTTGCCTTGTTGTATGTCCATCTTCTTGCATCACTACCCTGTGACAGTCACGGACATATTTCTGTCTCCATAAAGCAAGGAACATTTGACTACTTGCATAGAAATGTATTTTCAAGACTTATCAAATAGAACTAAGTAAAATCACTAACAAGCATAACCTTCGTGTTCAAAACCTTACTCCAGCAATTTATCATTTGAATTTTGGGTTATCCTTGATGACAACAAAAGCCTTTTCACTTGCATCAAATTCCAGGTGAAACATATTACAGTACTTAGCCATTTTATAAAAATTTACAGTGTATCAAAATAACATCTTCCATATTTCAGTGGATCCAAATTCATGGCTGTGAGTTCTTTGAAACTGTTTTCAATTTACAGAGTATTCTCCCACAGTGCCAGGTATGAAACCCATACATATATTCATGATCCATTTAACAAACACAGCGTAGTTCACGAGTGCTACAAAAAATCCTGTGCTATCACTTGATAAATATCGTACTTAAGAACATTAGTAATGTTAAAATTAAGAGAACCTTACTAGCGGTGTTCTGGTCTTATATTTTTCTGCCTCAGAAATGTTTTGATACACAAGTTTTCTCATCAAAATTACAGTACAGAGCTAAGTGTAAGGCATGTGCCCACTTACATATATGCATTTACATGTCTTTTAACATTATTGTGTAGAATATAGATAGATATTTCCCAATGCTTTGCTCAGACAACAAAATCTCTTTAATAGCAGCCGAAAGACTTGTTCACTAGTTCTTTATAACACATAATTCTTAAAATATTTCAGATTTAAAATTAATGATAATAGTAGTGTAACACAACTAGCATTGCACCACAACTCAATTTAAACATACCTGCTTCTACAGGAATTGGTTTCTCCAGGAGAAAAACTGTCTGTTTCCAGTGTGTTTTGGTACACTGGGGACCAGTTGAAAACAAGACCTGCAATGGAAGAGTTCAAGAGTTTGATTAAGAACAACATTTTTTATATCGCATCACATCAATCAATTACCAAACATACATGCACATGATGTGTTTGCTGCAGCACTGCCAAACACCCCGAGGCAGAGTAAAATATAAAAACACCCTAATCTCTCAGACATTTTAAAAATGGATAACCCCAGATACTCACCTTGTTGTGACAGTTCTTCTCAAAAAATATATCAAAATAACCTGCAACTGCCTATAAAAAAAAGAGGGAAATGCAAATATGAGAAAAGAATAGTAACCCTCAAGAAAAAAAAAGTCTATCATTACTATATACATTTATTGGGATTTCTACTCCTTTTCAAGATTTAATAACAGGAACAAGCTTAGATTTATGCTTTCAAGCCTGCTAGAAATCCTAAGACAAAAAAAATGAGCTGTCATCACACCTCTACTCTACTCCAGAACATTCAGCTCACTCTAACTGCCTTTTATTACATATCAAATTTTAGTCGAGTTTCCAAAATAACCCACACACCCTAACTGCAACTAGAATTACATATGAGAAAACAGCCTTTCAGATGTGCAAACCTACAAGCAAAAAATTCAGTCCTCGTCCTGTATGGCCCCCACAACCCTCACTGAATACACACTGAGTACAGGCGATTCTGCATGGCTGGTGCACTCTTGGCGTAGCTTAACATTTCTTTCCATAAAAGCTCCTCGTGAACAGAGGTAGAGCATAACCAGGCAGGGAGTATTTTTCTTCCTCTGCTACACACACAGATAAGGAAGAAGATCCACAAATGCCTTGTGCTGGCCTTTTCAGGAGTTAATAACTTCTAGCAGTAACTCGCCATCGGACTCCTCAGAACACTTCCTCTGTCCCTCCCGCCACCCCATTCCCAATTTCAAAGAGCCTCTCTCTTCAGTGCGTAATTCATTAGCGGGACTTGTCTTCCAGCTTGAAGAGGAAAGCAAATACAAAATGTCTGCACACAAAACAGTACACCGACATTATTAGTTACACAGTCTTTTAATACTGGCCTGCTTTTTTTGACAAAAAAAAGTCTTCCGAGAGTCCCAGAAATTCAAAGAATTCAAATAAAGAACTGGAAGATGCTAATAAAAGACCACCCACTCCACAGTTTCACCTCTGAAATCCTGTCCATGCTCACCTTTATTTGCTTTCCACTGTCTCCCACAAAAAGGCTAACGCACATCAGACCACAGGCCCACGGTAGTTACGCTTCTCTGTTGTATGTCAGCCCAAAGACATGACCCAGAGCAGAGCTTTTGAGTAACTCCAACTACAGCATATGATAATGATAGCTAAACCATTCTAAACCATTCTGGTATTTTTCCTCTCTAGTCTAAACCCAGAACAGATTTCACCAACGCGGTGGAGAACACAAGACATTACAGGAAGTAAGCCTGTGTTAAACCACCTGTGTTAGCTTGTCAACGAAGGGCACTCCAGAGAAGGCTGGCAAGTTCCAAATTCCAATGTGGGCAAATACTCTTCAAAAAAAAAAGAACCGAGGAGACACTGAGGGACCTTCAAGACAAATGAGCACCAGCTGTTGGAAACAGTGACTCTTCCATCCCTTAAGTCTTATCGCTCAATGCTGAGAATCTCATTCCCAAGTGAATTACAGCCTTGTCTCTAATATGCCTTTTTGAGTAAAGGCTGAGAAGGTTTTGACAAAATTTTATTGACTCATCAGACTACTTTTATTGATGCACAATCTCTTCTGGACATTAGTCAGAGATCTACTAAGTCATAAAAACATTTTTCAATCAGGTCAATACTGTTGATACGCTTACATATAAGACCTAGGATAGACCTAGGATATGATTAGTGGAGAAAGAAAAATGAGGTCGGGACAATAAAAACGCATTAAGAATTGAGGGGGAAAAAAAAAATTGGCTTCCAGAGAAAATGAGACATTCAAGCTACATTTTGGACCAGAAAGCTAAAAGCTCCAAGCAGACACACCATAGCTAAGGTGGCTGTAATTATCTACACACCTGGTACCAAGAAGTAACAGAAACACCCTACTTGCTACCCTGAGAAAACATCCCCAGATTAGCATTTTTCAGGGATCAAGTTCAGGCTGAAGAGAAACTGCAGTTACAAGCAAAGCAACTGTCCCCTGCTATTTGCTGCCTCCTGCGGTCTGGGAAACAGGACTGGTACATCCCCAGTAAATGATAAATAACCATCTTGTTCCTTACAGTATCAATGGTTTCCCTAACTGAAACAACCTGAAACATTGACTTTGACTATCTAAATCAAGAGGTAGTAACAGTAATTCTTACACTTCAAAGACCACCTTATACAGAGCTGCAAGGATTACAGAGTTCGAGGGCCCTGGAGAAGGGGAGGCTGAGGGGAGACCTTTTTGCTCTCTACAACTGCCTGGAAGGAGGTTGTAGCAAGGTGAGCGTCAGTCTCTCCTCCCAAATAACAAGTGATAGGCCAGGAGGAAACCACCGCAAGTTGTGCCAGGCAAGGTTTAAATTGGATATAAGGAAAAAATTTCTTCACTGAAAGGTTTATTCAGCACTGGAACAGGCTGCCCAGGGAAGTAGTGGAGTCGCCATCCCTGGGGTATTTAAAAACTGCGCAGACATTGTGCTTAGCGACATGGCTCAGTGGTGGACTTGGCAGTGTTAAGTTTATGGTTGGACTCAACGATCTTAAAGGTCTTTTCCAACCTAAACGATCCTATGATTCTGTGTTGCTGGATTCTGTGATGATTCTATGTTGCTTCTTACGAGAGCTTGCAAAGGCAACCTTACCAATTCACTTAGGAAGAAGGAAATTAAAATTCTATGATTCTGTGTTGCTGGCAAAGTATTGGAGGATTCAAAGCTGCAACACAGTTCTAGTTATTTCTCCTCTCAATGCTCTGTGAAAACCTTTACATAAAACATTACAATTTCTGCTCCTACATGAAGCAGCAGGAAGTCTTCCCTGAAAGAGCTATGAAAAACTAAAATCTCCGACTGCACTACAGAAGCCTATTTCAATACTACCAAATGCCAAGTGCTAAAAACCCCTAAACGAAAACAACCCCACCCTCATGGTATATTAGTGTAAGCCTTGCACCACTACAGAAACGATCTGGTACCCCACATTGATGTCTCGGGAAAAGAGGAAAAAAAAAGTCAGAAGTCAAGTACATGCAGATGATGATTTCCATAATTTTATCTACAATCACTAGTCCTGTATATTTACAAACAAAATCTCACCAATCTAAAAACCTACACAAATCAAAGTTGAAATACCTCATAATACAAAACCAGCTACAAAGTTGTGGGGTTCGGTTACTACCTTCTTCTGAGGAATTTATGCCTTTCCTTACATTTTAACTTTTTTTTTTATCCATTCTTGTTGGTGGGTTTATGCTGAAATGCACAATGAATAGCTTTTACATATAAGTACATTTAAGTGAAATAATTCCGTAAAAGTGAATTTCAAAACGTTTTCCTTTCATTTCATTTTTGAACACTACTACAAATCGCAGTAGCTGTAAGAGTCAACCACAAACTTCTATTAAATACAGCAGTAGCTATAACAGTTAAGCATAAACTTCTATTAAATATGCAATACGACAAATAAAGACATTTCCAATGTTTACAGCTTGAAGGAAGACGAAGTCTTCCCTTCTTGTTGTAAAATTTAACACATGAAGCTAAGCAGCAAAATATAAGGAAAAAATCACAAGTGGCATACTAGAAACAATCACAGACACAAGCATATTAAAATGGCATCTAGGGCTGGCCAGACTTCTATTACAGGTGGCATATTTTTCACAAGCAGGTAAACTGAAGAAAAGGAACACGTAAATAACGCCCCCATAAATTCTAGACGATGTTTTACAACTACTGCCTTGGTTTTGTTTTTTTTTTAAGCTTAACGGTAACAGTTATTTCTTCCATTGCAGTTTTCCTCATCTTTTTGCTCCACCTTTGATAGCTCATTTACAACTTCACCAACGACTAATCAGTAAGAACTTAAAGCCTTCTCTGGAAGAAGCTTTCAAGTGCCAGTCTCCTGAATACCGTGAAAGCAGAAAACAAAAATAATGACTTCTAAACTAGTAATAAATAACTGCAACTCCAGCCTGACACATGCTCTAGCCTCAAAGGATGTTAAATATTAGAAAACACTGCAGAAATATTATTCTTCCTGTTCTCAAATAAATTGCCAGGAGAAAAGCAGAGCTATGAGTACAAAAACTCCAACCCCAGAACAAAGTCTCTGTATTTATCCAGGGAATTAAGAAGGTTAAATAAGGAACTAAGGAAACTTTTAGGAATAAATGTACATTACTGAGATCGTAATCTAAATGTCAACAAAGAGTTCACTCAACTAAGAATAAAATAAGCCTGAAATTACCATAGCAGCCACTAAGTTCCACCTGATTTTGTCAAACCCAGGTTTTGATGAAGAGTTCACGCAAAGTAGTTTAAGGTCTTCATCCATCACTGAGGGTTTCTAAGGTGTTCGTGCAAACATACCAAAAAAAACCTGTAAATGAAGCACGTCCTTCCAGTAAGATCCACTTGTCTTCAACATTTTTTTCTTCCCTCCCGGATAAATTACTTTGAGCCTATGTTTTTCCCCAATTTATTCATGTAACATGTACCAAATATATTAAGACCACAAAAAGCTTTAACATATGTAATTGATGAATATTACTACATATTATTTATAGTCTCCCACTTACAGCCCTTAGCTGAAATGGGAAGAGGAGTCTATGTTTTAATTCAAATATATATAAATACTGAGGCTGTTTTCTAAAGAAAATGTCTGGCTGTACATGCAGCATTTTAACAGGATAAAACAAATGAGACTGCCTGACTCCTTATGAGAGCTTGCAAAGGCAACCTTACCAATTCACTTAGGAAGAAGGAAATTAAAAATTATCATCATCGTTATCACCTACAGTGAGTAATTTATCATTCTTGCTCTTCACTAGTATTGTGTTCCAACAGTGAGTGGCTACAACAAATACAATTAGACAGCTGGCCACAGAAGTGGGAGATAATGTGCTTTTGATGGAGTTTATCCAAGCATGGAGATGGAATGTTTGTCATCCACACAGCAGAGCTGATGCATTTTTATCACAGGGAAAGAAACCCCTGGCTATTAAAATCCAACAATTTTGTGTTTTTATTAAAAAGACTAAGAATCTGGAGATCACTGCAGAGGAGGCTACCAATAATCAAATAAATCAGAAGCAC